TTGTTTAGCTTCTATATTTGCAACATAGTTGCTGTAGAGTTGCAGCTGAGAGGCCGGCAAGTCAGGCGGGGAACGTTGGAGTCCGCAGTCACTGGAGCAAGCAAGCCTCCCTGTTCGCTTCAGTGCATGGCTGCCGGCCGCCATCTTGGCTGGCAGTTAATTTGCATATCACCCTGATTAGCCCATGGGAAGGGTAGCAGCCGTACGGCTAATTACCATGTTTCTCTTTTATTAGATAGGATTGTACTATACTTATATTATATTATATTATATTATATTATATTATAGTGACTTGACATTTATGTACTTTACAAAGTGATCACCAGGAAAAAGTCCAGTATCCATCTGTCACCATACAAAGGTATTTTGATATTATTGACTACTAGAGGCCCAGTGCACGGATTCATGCACCGGTGGGGTCCCTCGGCCTGGCCTGTATGGATCAGCGGACCTCCACGCCACCGCAGCCCGGCTTACTTGCCAGCTCGTCGGGCTCCAGCCCACTGTTCACATCGATCCTGCACAGCACGAAGTAGTGCACAATGTGGCAGGCAGCCGGGAAGGAGTCTGAGCCTGGGCTGGGCCCAACTGCGCCTGCTGATGCTGCTACAGCGCGCAGGGGGAGTATCCGCAGGAGAGTCTCGCACTACCACCGCAGCTGCACTTGCCAGCCGTGAGCCCGCCTATCTGTCAGCTGAGCGGTGCTCCCACTGTAGGAGCGCACTGACCACCAGGGTCAGCTCCTGCATTGAGCGTCTGCCCCCTGGTGGTCAGTGCACGTCATAGCTACCGACTGGTCATTCCGGTTGTCTGGTTGTAACGGTCCCTTAGGCTTTTATATATATAGATATTCCCTCTGCTGTAGTTTATATCCCCCAAAATATGGAACACTTTGTGAATTTGCATGTCATTCTGTACAGGTGCCATGCTAATAAATCTTCTCTGTATTGTTCCAATTTTAGTATATGTGCTGCCAAAGCGAGCAATATATTTTATTTAGTCTTATAAAAGTTTGTATTTAATGCAATTTGTTGAGGTTTTTTTTATCACTCCTGAATTTCATGTCTAATTAAAAAAGAACTTCCTCACGCCAAGATTATAAGAATCTTAACCTGTATATTTTTTACTCTAATATTTTGGTTTTAAGTTTCGTTTTTAAAAACCATTTGGTATTTATTTTAGTGTGCTGTAGGAACCTAATTCTTTAAAAAATCCAATTGGAGAGTCAGCTGCCCTCTCATCATTTATTGAATATTCTTTCAAGTTTTTAATTGATTTTAGATGCCATCTTTATCATAATCTAAATTGTTATATATTTTTGGGTTTGTTGCTGGGCTTTCTTGTCAGTCCAGTTATCTGTTATATCTTCATATCATACTTTTAATGATCTGTTGTGGGCCTATGAGATATTATAATGTCTAGGAGGAGACAGAGCATGATAAAACTAAGTTAAGAGCTTAACTCAGGGGTTAGATTAGTTGAATGCTAGCTCTGCCATTTATCAGTTAGATAACTTAGTGGGAATTATTTAAATTCTCTAGACCTCAGTATTGTCTGTAAAATAAGGATTATAATATTTAATACATTATAGGGTTATTGTGAGAATTAAATGCATTAATATATGTAAAGCTCCTTTAATGCTACGTATTTACATAGGTGCCATGTAAGAGTTAAGCTATTGCAACAGGGCAAAGTTGTCCTCATAGTCCTTCTTTCTAGACTAGCTTGTTAGCCCTGGCTGACATGATACAGTGGTTAGAGTGTTGGCACATACACCGAAGGTTCTAAGGATCGATTCCTGGTCAAGGGCACTGGGTTGCAGATTTGATCCCTGGCCCCCGTCAGGGCTCATTCAGGAGGCTCGCGCTCTCTCATTCTCTCGGCCCCCATCCAGGCTCATTTGGGAGTCTCTCTATCTTTCTCTCCCCCCCCCCCCCCGCTTGAGTGTGAGGTCGCCTCTGACTCCCCCACCCTCCTTCCACTCTCTCTAAAAAGCAATGGGAAAAATATCCTCAGGTAAAAAATTTTTTAAAAAGTTTTATTCTTCCCAAAATCCCAATTCAGCTACTCATTGTAATTACATTGACCTTTAGTATTTAAGTTGAGGGAGAAATGGTCTTTATAATAATGTAATAAACTGTTGCATTATTCTATACTAGTATAATAAAAGGCTAAAATGCAAATCGACCGAATGGCGGAACACCCGGTTGCTATGACACGCACTGACCACCAGGGGACAGATGCTCAGTGCAGGAGCTGCCCCCTGGTGATCAGTGCGCTCCCACAGGGGGAGCGCCACTCAGCCAGAAGCCGGGCTCACAGACTGGTGCGCGCAGCAGCAGTGGCGGGAGCCTCTCCCGCGTCCGTGGCAGCGCTAAGGATGCCCGACTGCCAGCTTAGGTCTGCTCCCCATAGGCCTAAGCTGTCAGTCGGACATTCCCCGAGTGCTCCCAGACTGTGAGAGGGTGCAGGCCAGGCTGAGCCCACCCCCCACCCCCCCGCCAGTGCATGAATTTCATGCACCAGGCCTCCAGTAATTATATAATACAGTATTGGCTTACCACCTAAGAACATGGTATATCTGTATCTCTTCATTAACTCAAGTCTAGGGTCTTGTGTCAGTTCTGGACTTAATAGATGGACACATTGTTTTCTGTTCTCATCTGATCCAAAACACAAAAAAGAAATATTGGAATCTACAAGTGTGACATTATTGCCTCATTTTTATCCCTAGAATAACAGCAATAGAAAAACATGTTGCCATAGACCACATCATTAGATGTTGTATATATAGGTGTCTGCACTTATGTTGGTTGTTTAAGAAGGTCTTCTCAGTGCTGTCTCACATTTCACGCTAAAGTGCATGAGTATATAAATGAATAAAGAAAAGTTGAGCCCTGGCCGGTTTGGCTCAGTGGATGGAGCGTCGGCCTGCGGACTCAGGGGTCCCGGGTTCAATTCCAGTCAGGGGCATGTGCCTTGGTTGCGGGCACATCCCCAGTGGGGGGTGTGCAGGAGGCAGCTGATTGATGTCTCTCTCATTCACCCATTACATCAAAGGTATATACTATTTACATCATGTATTATTGTTGATCTTGGGCTTGATCATCTGGCTAAAATAGTGCTAGCCAGGTTTTTATACTGTCAAGTTACTCTTTCCCCCTCTTTCCATACCTTACTTTATGGAGGGAAGTCATCATGCATAGGCCACACTGAAGGAGTGAGGAGTTAAGTCCTCTTTGAATCAGAGTATCTACATAAATTATTTGGAATTCTTCTGCATAGGTGATTCTGTTATTTTTTTTTTAATAACTCAATTTATGGTGATAAGGAAGGTGGCAAGCTGCAAGGTGTTTGACAGAACTCCCCAGATCCAAGGGTCTTGTCCCTAGGTTCTTGTTTTTCTAGATAAAGTCCTGTTAGGTGCTCTAAGTAAACACTATTGGGTTGTGATTTATTGGTCTAGATTGTTTTTGTTTCACCGCCTTTTGTTGCCTAGACTTTCTTAAAAATTATGTTAGTGAGCCTCTGAAAAACACTAAGAGCTTTGTCTATGTACCTGTGTGAAAAAAAAAATGTACCTAGGGCTCTGATGGTTTATGAACAGTCAGCTTCAGTTTTAAGGAAGGAGGAGGAGGTTTTATGACTACATACAGCCACATTGCACATTGAAAGAAAATATTTGTTATACTCATACTGCTTTAGGATCCAAAGACCAAGCCCCACTGAATTAAATAAAAGAAGGTATATCTTCACTTTTTCTTTTTTTAAAAAGTATGTAAGCCCAGCCAGTGTGGCTCAGTGGTTGAGCATTGACCTATGAACCAGGAGATCACTGTTTAATTCTCGGTCAGGGCACATGCCCAGGTTGCAGGATTGATCCCCAGTGTGGGGCATGCAGGAGGCAGCCGACCAATGATTCTCTCTCATCCTTGATGTTTCTATCTCTCTCTCTCCCTTCCTGTCAGAAATCAATAAAAAAAAAATCTTTTAAAAAGTATTTGTTTTTAAAAATTATTATACAGTAACATTGACTTATTGGAAGGGGATGGTACAGTTTTATAAATTTTAAGTCATTTTTCATGTAGTTATCACCAACATTAGGATATATAAATCACTCCAAAAAATCTTTTTATTATTACACCCACCTCTTACCTCTGGCAACTACTGTTCTACATCTTTATAGTGTGTTTTTTTTTAAATGTTAGATAAATGAAACCATCTATGCCTTTTGAGGTTGACTTCTTTCACCTAATTTAATATTTCCACATATTTGCTTGTGCGGGAAACGAGTTAAGTCGGCTCGCGTGAATTGCGCGTACTCCGCGGGAGCCGTCTTTAACTCGGTTCATATAGATTTGCGGTGGAGTGCGGGAAACGTGTAAACTCGGGCCGATTGTAACTGCGTATTACCAAATATTTGTTTGTAATCCACCCTTTTGGTGGATGGAACAAAACCAAAAGACAGAGCCATCTTATATTTTGGCGGGAAATTCACCCGCACTCCAAGTGTTAAATTTGTCATACATTTTTCTTTCTCCCATACAACCTGAATTGAACATTAACACCTTTCAGATGATTGCACAGTCACAATAAGCTTTCTAATTATAATAAAGTTGATAAAGTATCTTAAAGACTTTTTTCCCCAGGTATGAAGTGAGTTACTGTGGGCTTCTTGTAGTCAGGTCTCAGTTTTAATGGATCTTGGTTCTGCTCCTTTAATAAGTGTCTGCAAATGCTTTGAATGATGGAAAAAATATGAGATGTATTTCCAAAAAGGAGGTCTTGCACCTTCCCTGCTTAATTATATCCCTGAAATCTGTGGTGATCTTACTTTATAAGCCACACATGTCTTCTCGGAGAATAAAGGAAAAAGTATGTAGTATTTTTCCTGCATTTTTCTTTTGCAATGTACTTAATAATATGTTCAGGTCCTACAGCAACAGGTTTTGATGTGAGTTCTTTTGATTTTTTTCTCCAATTCCTTCTACTCTTTAGAGAGCCTGATAGTTAAGTATTCTCTCCACCGTAGATTTCCTGGTTCCAGAAGTAGCTGGTGAAGCCACTCCATCTTGACCAGGATCCTCTTTGGCCACCAGCCCACCATGGCCCCGAGGTTCGCATCTGGGTAGCACAGTGGCTGTAGCCACCACGGGTTGCTGCAACCTCTGCTCAGGCAACTGTAGCTGCCTCTGATGTAGTCTCCATTGCAGGTCAAAGGTTGGCTCCTCCTGGTGGCCCCAGCATCTCCTTTACTTTTTCTTAATGTTTATATCTGATACATGACTACAATAATACTTCACTAGTTATAGTCTATTAGTTTAGATCAGTGGGTCTGAGTTTGGTCCCTAGATAAGCAGCATCACCATCATATGCAGGTTTCCATCTCTTTCCCAGACCTGCCATCTCAGAAACTCTAGGGTTGAGACCCAACAATCTTTCTGAACATCTCCCTTCCTCCACCCATGATACATTCTGAAGTTTGAGTATCTGGTTTGGTTTATTGAGTGTGCCTGGTAGCCTACATAGCAGTTCTTGTAGTATATTGCTTTTCCTACAGATTAACATTGGCTTTTCCTAAAGGGCCATGAAAAGTATTTCCTCTTTTAATCAGTGTCTGACCGCTAAGATGTTAGTTCAGATTCTCCCCTCTAAAGATCACATTTGCTGAACTGATAAAGTTAGAACAGGGGTTGGCAAGCTACAAACTACAGGCTACCTCTTGTTTTTGTACAGTTTGTGAGCTAAGAATGGTTTTAACCTTTTTTTCAAAAAACATACCATAAATTTTACCCATTTTAAAGCATACATTTGAAAGGTTTTCAGTATATTCCCAGAGTTGAGTAGTGTATCAAAGCTAATTTTAGAGCATTTTTATTGTGCCAAAAAAACCCGTATATACTTTTGCAGTCAACACTGCCCCCTCCACCTCTCTAGCTCCAAGTAACCACTAACCTACTTTCTCTCTCTTTAAATTTACCTTTTC